GCAGGGTTGGCATTATTCTGTTGCTTTTGGAAGGGGGATACATAATCAAAACTTGGCTGTAACTGTTTGATGGGGATGGGGAACCTGATTCATTTTGCATCTGAAGGTCAGCACACCAGATTTGCACTTTCGCAAACAATACGTGAACCAGAACACAACCAACCTTCAAAATTTGCTTGTCTCTGAATTTTGCAATGTAGTTCTTCAGCCAAGTACTGTGTACACAAAGGCATACACTAAGGTAAAGTGTGCATTGAAAGAAACCATATATAGTAGTAAAAACAGTTGATGAAAGTGCATCACATTAGAGGAAGCTGTTTTGCAAAAATGTGTATGTTTTGCAAAATTGCACACAAAAATATGTGTATTATGAGACGTTCGCACAAAAATGCTTACAAATTTCCACGAAGACATTTTGTAACGAAACACCAATGACACACCAATGTAGAAATATGAATAACTGAACTTGGAAACATGAGACGCAGAGAGAAACCCAAAAGGATAGATTTGCCAATTTCTGCCAGTTGCTCTTGTTGGGCTGATACCCGCTGTCCACCAGAATTTTTGCACAGGTGTGCTTGAACGTGGCAAGGGAAAATTATTGGCTACAGATAGCCATGTGTGCATGTATTATTTATTATCCAGTTGATGTCTTTTTAGGGTACGATCAGGATACAAAGTGCTTTGCAGGGTAACAAGGCAGACTCTTGCATCACAGAGCTTACAGAGCTTACAGTTCTAGTTCTGGCAGAAGCAGAGTAATGATGCTATAGGTACTCGTAATTACCAGGTTCAGAGCAAAACTTCAGTGCATTCGTAATGCTTACTAGTATGCTGAATCTGGCACAATTCTTCTCTGGCTCAGTTTGCATTCCTGAGAAATAGCATTTCAGGAACCAGGGGCCCTGGGAAACATAATGTTCCCATGGCACCTGAGCCCATAGAAACTCAGATATTCAAGGGGGGAAACCACATGCCTCAGATTCTCTGGCAGCTGGGATATGAATATTGCAGTGATACCAACATCAGGGAGGGAGGGAGAGAAGCCTAATGACTGGCTTCGTAGAGGGTTACACATCTGACACAATTCTTCTCCAGCTTGGATTGCATTCCTGGCAAACAGCATTTCTGGAGCAAGGGACCCTGGGAAATGTAATGGTCCCAAGACACCCGAGCCTATGGGAATTCAGATGTCTTGGGTCCTTGGGCATCTGGGATGTGAATATTCCAGAGCTTCCAGCTCCAGGGAGGAAGAGAGAGAAATCTAAAGGCTGACACTTTAAACTTGGGTTATACACCCACAACACAGAAAATTGACCAGTTGGTAAATGTTGGCCTATAGTTTGGAGAGGAGCCTGGATGTGATCTGCTTCAACCAGGAGCTTCCAGTTCTCTGCACATTTGGGCTGGCTTTTTGACATCAATTTCTGTCGCCAGAAGATCTCCCTCCCTGTGTTCTTCCAAGCAGTTTCCTAGAAAAAAGGAGAGTGGGTCAAAGGCTGGCAGCTTGCTGAAATTAACACCCTGGAAGAATCTTCGAAAAGTACATACCAAGTTTATCCACTGGGTGATCAGTTGTGTGCTCAGTAGCCCTGAGAGAATCAGAACGTGAGGAAACACAACAAAACAAAACCCTCCATCATTTCCCAAGCTAAAGCCTCCATTTTCTCCTGCTGCTTATTGAACGGCAGGAAGTTTTGGGAGGAAGGCAACTTTTGGCCGGAGAACAACACTGATAGGCTTGCCATGCGTCCAGGAAAACCTGGCCATGGAGGCCAACATGCCCATCTGGGCAGATTTTTACATTTTAAAGGAAATGTCTGGGTTTGGCGGCGGGCTTGGGCTTGGGCTCAGGCTGCTCTGCACACCATGGCCGCTGCCAGCCCGAGCTGGGAAAAGAGGCGCCTCTTTTCCCAGCTTGGGCTGGCTGCTTTTCAGGCTGCCCCCAAAGGGTACCCTAGCCTAGGCCAGAATCTCAGAAGATGCCCCAAAAGATGCTCTAAATCAGTGCACAGCTGGATCACATGTAGGATAACCATGCACAGTTTCTAATGCAGGTATTGACTGCAGGGATCAGCTTTGGTTCAATTCAGATTTCAGGGCAAACCTACCTAACTCATACCACCCAACACACAAGCCAGAACACAGCTGTCCTTTGAAATCTGCACTCTCCCCGAATTTTATACTCTAATTTTATTGGCTTCTTTTATCCCATTTATATCCCACACTTCTACCCCACTCCTCGGTTTATCCTCACAACAGCCCTGTGAGGTAGGTCCGCCAAGATATAGTGATTGCTCCAAGGTCACTTGGTGGGACTTCATGAAGATTTGAACCCTGGTCTCCAGGGTTTTAGTCTGACACTCTAACCACTACACCACACAAGCAGAGGCCCCTGTCTGTCCACTAATGGAAATACTGGTATAGATGACCTTTGAGCTGATCCAGTGGTGTGTGGTCCGTGTACCTTACCGCACATGTGATGTGACAGCTCAATCATATACATCATCAAGGAGACCAAGGGGTGATCTGATCATCTGACCCAATTTACACTTTGCAGAGCAAAGCACAACTATCCTTTGACGTTCCCAGATTTCCCTGGATTTTCTGCTGCAGTTTGGCAACCAAATGATGTGAACAAAAATGTGCATATTTGGGGGGTGGAGGTGGGAATGTGCATGAAAATGCGCACATTTGTGAAGATGAGATATGAAAACGAATCGTATTCGGGAAATCGGCTTGCAAAAATGCGTGCGTCAGGCAAAATTGCAAAAAAAAAAAAAAGGAATAAAAGAAAAGAAGTCCTGGCCACAAGGGGAGCATAAAGCCATCAGGGCTCCAGATGAATCCCAAATAAATATACGATTTGTACCAAATCGACAGAGAGAGGAGAAAAAAAACTTGTCCTCTTAAGTGGTAGTAAAAAGAAAGGCACAGGTTCATATTCCTTTCCATTCCCCCCCTTTCATTCTAGAGCAAATGCACACCCATAATTACCATTTAAATGTTCGCTAAGCTTCTGGCCAGAAATACAGGAATGTCCTTAAGGGTGTACGTGCAGCAAGACAGATCCTGAAACTGGTTTCTTTTTTTCTTTCTTTCTATGTCTGCATCCTGGTATATTCCATGCATTTCTTTTTGCATTTATATAAGTATCATGTATGCACCCCCTGCATGGACAATGTACTGTTCACCCCCCCCCTTGCACCAGTAGTATCCTTTGTTTTTAATACAGGTGTCAACCATCTTGCACATGTCCAATTGATGTGTGACTGCTCATGTGTGGGTCCTTTTGGACCTGGAAGGGGGCAGAAGGGGGCAGGGCAGAATGGGGTGTAACAGGGCAGGGCGGGGTGAGCTTATGCATGCTCCACCGGTCCAGATGGGGGCCAGGAATGGAGCCCCCCCTGCAAAAGAGCCACTTCGTAATTCTTTGGAAATCTGCAGCCATCATATTTTCATTGTATCACTCCCTCTATTTCCGATGTTCAGCGCTGAGTGCCGTTGCTTACATACCGCCCACATACAAGGGTAAAGTAGCAATGCAATTGCAGGGACCCCTAAGTCAGGGGTGGGAGGCTGCTTTCCGCCTATGTAGGGAAGTTTTTTAACGTTTGATGTTTTAGACTATGATGGAAGCTGCCCAGAATGGCGGGGTACGAATAATGAAATTATTATTATTAGCCACATTCCCCTCTGGGCAATCTTTTGAGGGCCACATGCCAGGGGTGGGAGGGGCCAGAGAGAAAAATGGGTGGAGCAGCACAGCTAAAGGTTACCTCTGTACTTCAGACTTGTTGCTACACACACGGACACAACACTTCTTATTCTCCATCCAGGCAAGAAAGGGGCATTGTCTACACACACCAGCTGGACATCAATACAGATGTACTGTACCTCGGAAGTCGAACGGAATCCGTTCCAGAAGTCTGTTCGACTTCCAAAACGTTCAAGAACCAAGGCGCAACTTCCGATTGGCTGCAAGAAGCTCCTGCAGCCAATCGGAAGCCACAGAAATCACACTGGACATTTGGGTTCCAAAGAATGTTCAAAAACTGGAACAATCGCTTCTGGTTCTCGGGAGCCAAAACGTTCGACTCCCAAGGCGTTTGAAAAGCAAGGTACGACTGTATTTGCAGTGTGAAGCAGGAACAGTGAGGGGTGTGGCCTCTGAGGAGTGTCCCAAAGGCCAGGCAGAGATGCCTGAGGGGCTGCATTTCCTCTCTGTGTGGAAGTTCTCCAATCCAGCCCTAAGGAAAAGGGTTAACCTGTGGCTCTCCTGATGCTAATGAAACTACAACGCCCGTTGGCCACAGACAGCAAATTCAAGAAAGAGGGGAGTTTTAGTTCAACAACATCTGGAGGGCCACAGGTTAGCTGCTCCCGCCCCAAATACCTCAGTGAGTACCGAGCAAGCTGGAGGAAAAGCTGAAAAGGGGATGGAAGGGAGTATCCTGAAATGGGGATGGAATGGAGTATCCTGAAAGGGGCGTGGCTGGTGGTCTTGAGCCCTGAACAGAAGCATTCTAATGTGCCGCACAACTTTGTTGCCATTCCCACTTGTCGTGTAAAATGCTTGCCATTTTCTTTTCAAAAATGTAATGGAAGAAATGTTTAGAAAATTGTTGGGCCAATAAGCCTTTAGAGAAAGCACATCAAAGACACATGGCTTCCCTCAAAGGTTATTGGGAGCTGTAGTTTGAGGGAGCTGGGAATGGTATTTTTCTAGAAAAAGAGGTGCCAGAACTCACCACGAACGCCTCCCTCCTTCTCTTAGAATAGCAATGGCGCCCACCTGAGAGGAGCCAGAACTGAGTACCAGTCAGTTCCACCTGGATAAAACAAGCCCTGGTTCCCAGGATTCTTTGGAGAAGCCATGTGCCTTAAATGTGCGGAAGTCAGCACTGTCGGCATCTTTCCTTGTCTCCCCGTTAACACTGATTTCGCTGAAGAGAAAGGGCAGTCAGCTCATCCTCGGTGTCTATGTCTGTCTTCTACAGGAGACGCCACCTATCTCGACATCTTCCGCGAGTTTTCTCACATGGCATCCAACAATCCAGAGAAACTCAACCGCCGCAGCCTGTACTTCAGCCACTCCTACAGATAGCCCTCAAAACCACCACGGACATCGTCTGAGAACGCTGGTTCCTTCCAACTCCAGAGGGAGAGTCGAGATTACGTGCGGCGGATGAAGCCAAAGGGACAGAGGCGGCCGGTGGCTGAATCGGGTCCATCCAGAACAGGAGCAGTTCGACCCAGTGTCTCTGGTCACCCCACACAGCTTTGCGTTGATCGCTACATCTCCCCATGGTCACCACCCCACAACCAAATGGCTTTCCCCCTACATCCCCTTCTCCCCAAAAAACTTCTGAAGAGGATATACACAGCCCTACGAGTAACTAGCCCATGTTTACAGCCTGAAACGGAGAGAGAAACCTATTTCTTTTTAAAGCAGGGGTCGAGAACTTGTAGATATTTCGGACCTCGCTGGACTCCAGCTCCCATCAGCCAATAAATAGTCCAGGACGATGTGAACAATGTCTGAAAGGCCACAGCTTCCTCATCCGCGTTCTAAAATGGAAGTGGTGAATTTGCGGCCTTCACGTTATTGGTGGGTTGTAACTCCCGTCATCCCTGATCAACTGCTTGTGCTGAGGCTGATGGGAGTTGTAGTCCATCAACATCAGGCAGGCCATGGGTTGCTCTCCTATGTCCTGCTTCTGCCCCACTGTTGCCCTGGAGGTTTGATCTCACTAGCCTCAGGTGACTTGGCAAACTGGTTTTTACAGCCTTGGAGCAGGATGGAAAGTATCAATTTTGTTCAATGGGAAGATTAGATCCCTCCATAGCATCATTCAGGAGCATGGCAGAGAACTAAAAATGATGAGCAGGCTTCCTGGCTCACTACCAACTCCAGTCAATCCACCACAGTCCCCAACCCCTCAATATATTTCATAAAATCACAGAATTATAGTGCTGGAAAGGACCCCATTCCCACTCCTGCCATTACTTGCCATTTTCCTTACCCTTTCTGTGATTTCCCTTGCCTTAAGGCCTAAAACAAGTTCCCTGTCCCTGATTTTAAAACATGGCTTCTTCTTCTTCTTGTTATTTCAAAAATCATGTTCTGTTGTTTTCATAGATAACGGACTTGTCAGAGAGCCTGTACTGGTACAGCCTCTGCCGCCCAAACTGCCTCCTGTTGAGCGTGTATAGAAATTTGTGTTTATATGCTGGAAATGTAATATATCTCTGGGCAAAAAAGAAACATATTTTTAAAAAATGCTTGTGGCGGGAGCGAAGGGGTATGAATTGCAAGGGAGGGAAGAGGGAAGTCCAGGCAGGAGGGACGGACGGACCTTATTTACAAGATTATAAATAAAGACGGGTGACATTTTTCTCCCGGGACATTAGGCATGACTTCCTTGTCAGTTTCTCGGATCTACGCATCTTTGAACCAGGTGAGAAAATTATGTCATGGACCTTGCTATAAAGTGATATTTATTGGGTACACGTTTATAGCTTTGGGGCCAGCTGCCAAATCAGATATAGTAGTTGGCTCCTGAGAAACGGCAAAGTAGAGCCCAAGGTATTTATATGCATAGAAAGAAATATGCACACAGTCTACAGTAGGATCAGGCGGTGACTTATTGGAACTCCAGTTGGCTGTGTCACTGCGGCTTTCTGGGAGCTAAAGAGGGAGGCATGAGGTCAGCATGGTGCAAACGCAACACCAGTTGACCCAATCAGGTCCTCTCACTAGCACAACTGCACCTCCGCAACATCACACTCTAACATTGCAGTTACGACTGCACCGCTCCCCCCAAATAATCAGCCATGACTCTGCTGCTCAGAGGTCAGGGGAACGTTGCTGCCCCACCGTGCTGTCTGCGCGGAATGCCCCAAGTTCGATCCCTGACATCTCCTGGTAGGGTTGGGAATGAAAAACCCTTCGAAAACAAAAACCCACCATACTCCACCACAATTGTTCGCTCCAAACCTCAACTCTCCACAGGCCTCCAATGTCATTGCAAAAGCTTCCGCACTTGCAAAGGCTCGTGGGATTTCTGACACTATTTTTGCACCATTTTCGCCATTTGCGTACTCTTTTAGGGCCATGTCCCTCGCTTTTCGTGCCACATCTGGGTTTGCTGCGATGTGCGTGCGCACAGTTGCGAGTCCCTCGGACACATGTAAATGGGGAGCTGCCTGCACTCTGCTCCCAGTTCCACACAGGCAAACAACATGGAGATACCGATAATATTTTATTTGACTCAAATGCATATTATTACTATTGCCGTTTTGAAAGGGTTTTATGACATCCAATCAGCAAAATGATCCGTGTTTCCACTAGGTAGGTAAATTCTTGGGGGGGGGGAGCAGGGATGCAATTCTTGTGCAAGAAGAGCGCCCTAAGATATGAGACACACTATCCGTCAGGATTAAGCACCCAGACTATGAGACAAGTCAAGCAAAACAGAAAACAAAAGCAGCCTGAGGGTGGAGTACAGTGGGAGATACTGTGTCCAATGCTGGTGCTACTCAGAGCAGACCTACTGAAAACAATGTACATGGCTAATTTACATTTGCTCATTTCAGTGGGTCTACTCCAAATACAACCCAATGGGATTACCCTGGGTTGTACCCAATGTCTGTCCTATTCAGAGTAGACCCATTGAAGTTTACTGGGCATGACTAACCTAGGTCCATTAATTTCAGTGGGTCTGCTCTGAGTAGGTCTTAGATACAACCCACGAACCTTCGCTTCAAATAAAATAGAGGGAACATAAACGGCAACTTAATTTTCTAAATGCTTCTCTTGCTTTCAGTTAACCTAACACAATGCTAAGAACCCCAAAATAATAATATAGGCTGATCCCCCCCCTTATAATAATCAGGCAGGCTGGGCTCCCCCCTGAATCCACCCCCCTACATGGGATATCCTCTGGTTCTGCTTCAACAAAATGCAGCTCAACAAAATGGCCGCTGTGCCCTGCAGTTGTTCGCTGGGTGATTCTTGAACTGGAGGTTATAGGCAAAGAGATGTTTCCGGAAGCAGCTGGCTGCTTTTTGGTCACATTCACACACGAGCTTCTCGCATCGGTCCCGCGACTTGACTGCAGAGAGAGGAGAAAGGTGGTAACCTCAGCATCAGTTTCCGCAAAGAGGGGTGCTCTGAGCTGGGGGAACGGAAATAGAAAAGATTTGAACCAGCTCTTTGGCTCGACGCTGGACCAACTCACCGCATTTAATTTTATCCCTCTGGGTGTAGAACCTGTACGAGAGGGTGCTTGGGTTGCAACCGAACATCTCGGCCTTGTTGTAGCAGCAGTCGTGGCTGTGGCAGCACCTGCGTGTGACGTGAAAACGAGAGAGCAAGGAAGTGCTATGAATCAGGCCCATTCTGGTGCCATCTTAGATTTTTCAGAACTCAATATTCTGGAGCACTGTGGGTTGTTGTTGTTAAAGTGCATCTGATATTTTAAAATGGTGACTGCCGTGTAATTTTCTTTTGCCCACAATGGGCTTAGTTTGGAAAAACTAAGATGGCGGCCACAACCGTGGTCTCCGGCGGCCTGTGAGATTTCCCCAGTATCGCACAGCATGTTTCTGATGGCAGCATATTCAAGCAGGAGTCTCCCTCAGCCCTACCTGAAGATGCCAGGGATCAATCCTGGCACCTTCTGTGTGCAAAGCAGATGCTCTACCACTGAAAGTGTCTGTGGTATAACCCTGCTGAGACTGGTTCATATCATAATGCAGGTGGAGGCAGTTTATTTGAATTATCCTCCGCGTGAAACAAGCTCCTTGTCTGTAGAAAGCAAGCATCTCAGAGAGGCTAGGCAAGACACTTCCTCCCAGATATGCTAGCTTGGTGCATGCAGGGATTCCGTGTATTTCTTTGTACGGGAGAGGCACGCAAATATGGAGGTCCCCCATCCCTGTTCTTGAGACTCCCCTTGTTGGACATTTTCCATATCTGCTATTGGGTCCCTGGAGCACAGAGTCACATGAAGTGGCAACCAACCTTGCAGGATTTAATTTATTTGAAATGCATATGCAGGACAAAGGTAAGGTAAAGGTAAAGGTACCCCTGCCTGTACGGGCCAGTCTTGCCAGACTCTAGGGTTGTGCGCTCATCTCACTCTATAGGCCGGGAGCCAGCGCTGTCCGGAGACACTTCCGGGTCACGTGGCCAGCGTGACATCGCTGCTCTGGCGAGCCAGAGCCGCACACGGAAACACCGTTTACCTTCCCGCTTGTAAGCGGTCCCTATTTATCTACTTGCACCCGGGGGTGCTTTCGAACTGCTAGGTTGGCAGGCGCTGGGACCGAACGACAGGAGCGCACCCCGCCGCAGGGATTCGAACCGCCGACCTTTCGATCGGCAAGTCCTAGGTGCTGAGGCTTTAACCCACAGCGCCACCTGCGTCCCCCAGGACAAAGGTACAGAGCAATAAATTCGCAATCTGCACACCCCAGTCAGGGTGCGCCCACTTTTTATACCCCTTAGAATGCATAGACACGTGTTCACATGTAAAACATGTGATTTACACTAATAGCAATAAGATATAGCTTTGTCTCTTGTGTTACCCTCCTCCTTTTCAGTTCGCCTCCTCCTTTTCAGCCCCCCCCGGTCTGGGGTTACAGTAACACCCATTCAACCTTGCTTATTATCTCTACCCGCCTAAGCCAGACATTCCAGAGAGAGGGGCCCATTTTCACTGTAACATCTAAGCAAGAAGAAAAAGCCTTGTTCTTCTGGCTGGTGTAAAAACCTCCCTCCCCCCTTTAAGGAAGGGGTTTGGGCGTAACATATGAGAGAGGAGAAAATGCCTCAAACAGGTTTTTGGGATCATATAGAGAACAATATTCTAATGGCCCTTCACCATGACTTGTAAAACCCCTGAACTGTAAGAGAATGATGATAGACCAAGAGGTGAGCAATGCCTGCTAATCTCAGGTGAGCCTCACCTGTCGATGGCGTCCACGGGGAAGCCTTGAGTCCCTGCCCCACAGTGACACCCATAGTTGGTGAAGTTGGCCAGGGTGTAGGTGACGGTGCTCATCTGGATCATCTCATTAAACTGGGAGGCAAGGCCGGTCACCAGAGCGGCTCCTGAAAGAACAACAGAGTCTTGTTTGGAGGGAAGAGCAAAGAGACAGGGAGCAGGGGATACAGATTGAAAAGGCAAGGGAGTTGATGTGGAAAAGCACTCTTTGTGGTGGGGATGGCGGTTGAGGTCTCAAGCCTTCCTGAGGGGTTGGGATACCTTTTCCCCTGCTGCCACATTCCCTCAGAGGTAAACCGTTCTCAGCCACTTGCTGGCAGTAAAGGCAAAGGGAACCCTGACCGTTAAGTCCAGTCGCGGACGACTCTGGGGTTGCGGCGCTCATCTCACTTTACTGGCCGAGGGAGCCGGCGTTTGTCCGCAAACAGCTTCTGGGTCATGTGGCCAGCATGACTAAGCCGCTTCAGGTGAACCAGAGCAGTGCACAGAAACGCTGTTTACCTTCCTGCCGGAGCGGTACCTATTTATCTACTTGCACTTTGACATGCTTTTGAACTGCTAGGTGGGCAGGAGCAGGGACCGAGCAATGGGAGCTCACCCCGTCCTGGGGATTTGAACCGCCAACCTTCTGATTGGCAAATCCTAGGCTCTGTGGTTTAGAGGTAAACCGTTCTCAGCCACTTGCTGGCAGTAGGTAGGGCCAAAGCCGCCTCCTGTTCCTTCCTCCCTCTGCCATCCCCTTCCTCTCTCCCTCTCCCCCTCCCTCTTTCCCTCCCTCCCTTCCCCCTCTCTCTCATCTTTCTCTCTGCTACCCCATTTCATTCTTTATCACAGCGTCCTTCTATCTCTCTGTCTGCCACCCCTTTCTCTCCTTTCTTTCCGCCTCTCTTTCTGCCATTCTGACACCTCCTTTCTCTCTCCCTCCCCCCACTGATTTAAATTAGGCTTAGGATCACAGGTAGTCAGTCCTAAGGCTGCTGGTTGCCCAGTCCTGGACTGAGAGGTTGAGCCTGTTCGTGAAAGTACTGGGAATTAGATCAAGCGCACTGTGGCATGAGCAGTCAAGGCGTTTGGACTGGCGAGCCTGCCTGGAGGGCAGAAGTAGCCTGGTGGCAAAAGAAGATGGCTTTAAACCCCTGCCTAGGGGTATTGGCCACGACTGTGAAAGGAACACCCAGATTCAGTGGCAGTATATCCCTGAATCACCTGCCAACCTAGCAGTTCGAAAGCACCCCCGGGTGCAAGTAGATAAATAGGGACCGCTTACTAGCTGGAAGGTAAACGGCGTTTCCATGTGTGCTGCGCTGGCTCGCCAGATGCATCTTGTCACGCTGGCCACGTGACCCGGAAGTGTCTTCGGACAGCACTGGCCCCCGGCCTCTTAAGCGAGATGGGTGCGCAACCCCAGAGTTGGACACGACTGGCCCGTACGGGCAGGGGTACCTTTACCTTTACCTTATATCCCTGAATACCAATTGCCAGATTTTTTCTTTTCTTCCTCTTCCCACATCTGGCTGCAAAATGCACTGCCCTCGGGCTGGTTTCTTGATGGCAATGCCAGGAAGCCAAATCAGAGTGAGGGCAGTCTGAGGGCTTGCTGGGGGCAGGGAAAGTACTTGCCATCAGTTGCCACCATCACAGGGACCACGGGGGAAGCAAAGAGACCCCATCCCAGAGACCCCTCTTTCAAACAACAACAACAGTTCTGGAAAGAACTCTCAGCTCTACTGAGGACAGAACTATAGCAGAAAAGTAGACTTACCGCAAGCCAGAACCAGTAGGAAGATTGTAACGTTCTTCATGGGTGCAGCAGAAACGGAAGCAAGCCAAAGAGAACCTTGTTCTCCTGTCAAAAGAAGGGCTCTGTACAATCGCTTGGGTGTCTGTGTCAGTTTATATAAGCAAGCCCAACCAGATATTTTGGGACAAATGATGTCCCCATCACCTCCACCCCCAGTCCTGGCTCATAATAATTATACTCGAGGACCAGAGCAAAACAAGGTTTGCTGTTGTTGTTGTTTAGTCGTTTAGTTATGTCCGACTCTTCATGACCCCATGGACCAGAGCACGCCAGGCACTCCTGTCTTCCACTGCCTCCCACAGTTTGGTCAAACTCATCAAGTTCTTAAAGAAATGGGAGTGCCTGATCACCTCATCTGTCTCCTGAGAAATCTCTATGTGGGACAAGAAGCTACAGTTAGAACTGGATATGGAACAACTGATGGGTTCAAAATTGGGAAAGGAGTACGACAAGGCTGTATATTATCTCCCTGCTTATTTAACTTATATGCAGAATTCATCATGCAAAAGGCTGGGCTGGATGAATCCCTAGCCGGAATTAAGATTGCCGGAAGAAATATCAACAACCTCAGATATGCAGATGACACGACATTGATGGCAGAAAGTGAGGAGGAATTAAAGAACCTTTTATTGAGGGTGAAAGAGGAGAGCGCAAAATATGGTTTGAAGCTCAACATCAAAAAAACGAAGATCGTGGCCACTGGTCCCATCACCTCCTGGCAAATAGAAGGGGAAGAAATGGAGGCAGTGAGAGATTTTATTTTCTTGGGCTCCATGAACAAGGTTAGGGACCATAATTATCTAAGAAGTGGGATTAACAACATCAGGATATATATATAAGCGGTGGCAATCTGAGGCTACATCCATACTATACATTTAAATCGCTATGATACCCCTTTAAGCACCCATAGCTTCCCACAAAGAATCATGGCACCTATAGCTTGTTAAGAGCGCTGAGAGCTGTTAGGAGACACCTCTCGCTATTCCCCTTGCAGAGCTACTATTTCCAGAGCTTTTTTGTGAAGATAGATTGGTTGTTAAACCACTCTGGAAACTGCATAAAAACACTAGAAGAGCCATACTGGATCAAGCCAAAGACCCATCTAAAATTTATTTATACATTAATCACATTTATATCTCACCTTCCCCCCCCCCAAGGATCTCAAGGCTCTCCCCTTCCTCATTTAAATTCCACAACAACCCTGCAAGGTAGGTGAGACTGAGAGGGACAGTCACTGGCCAAAGGCCACCCAGTGGAGACCTTCAAGGCCAAGTGGGGGATTTGAACCCTGTTCTCCCAGGCCTTAGTCTGACACTCTAACCACGGCACCACACCAGCTTTTGGTCCAGTATCCTTTTCTCACAGCGATAGCACCATGTTGCACTTACAGAAATAAATAAATGATGGATGCATGGCCCAGTACATCACAAGTGCAATACAGTCATACCTCGAGTTGAATGCGCTTTGGGTTGAGCACGTTCGAGTTGCGCTCCGCGGCAACCTGGAAGTAACGGAGCGCGTTACTTCCGGATTTTGTCGCTCGCGCATGCACAGACGCTCAAAATGACGTCATGCGCATGCGCGTTAGTGGTGAAACGCGACCCGCACACGTGCTGACGCACTGTTGCGTCTTGCGTTCCATTTGGGATGCGAACGGGGCTCCGGAACGGATCCCGTTCGCATCCCGAGGTACCACTGTATTCCTTCGTTGCTGACATGTGGCAGAATACATCCTCAAGATACCTCAGTCTCAACAGCCCTGAGCCCAGTTTAAAGATGAAGTTTCATGAGAGGTTTTGACGTTGCCTATCAATAGGACCTGGGCAACAGATCGAACAAGTACGCAGAAGAAATGATCCATAATGAATTGAAAAAAATGTTTAAAAGTACCTTCCCCCCAAAAAAACCCAGAGTCCTTTTTGTTGGGGATAATTCAGATGGAAATTCCCAGGTGTCAAAAAAGACTATTTATGTATGCCACTGCTGCGGCCTGTGTTTTGTTAGTCCAAAAATGGAAAACGAGCGAGGTCCCAACTGAAGAAGAATGGCAACTTAAGCTGATGGCAACTTAACATATAGAATAAGAGAACAAGAAGAACATACGTTTAGAGAAGATTGGGAAACGTTTATTGAACGTATGGGGGGGGGGAATTGTGTACGCTTGAAAACACTGGCAGCATTAAGATAAATTCCACAGTGTAAATAAGTTTTGATGGCTGTAACAATGGAATACTGAATGGTTTAGTTTATGTATAGTAGGCAGGGATTTATGGTATGCAAAATGAACCATGGAAAGAGAAGAAGGGAAGTCATTGATGTTGTAAGGATGTTTAAATGAGTATTCAAAATTATAAAACAGAAAATCTAATAAAAATTATATATAATGGACAAGTTAATTTCAGGTTCCGAATACCGCATGGAAAAGGGTAAGTTGATAATAGGTTGCCTTCCTTTTCTATTTCAATCCACGGATGATGGCTGGGGTAAACAAATGCTGGTGTAGATTGAGGAGGCCATTGTGTATTTATCAGCTGAGATCATGTTTTGTTTGTGGAAACATCTCTGAAAAGATGACAGTTTTGGAAATGGGAAGGAAGCATTTAGCTGGAAGGAGGAATCTGAATCCTGTAGAAAAGGAGAACCGGGAGGTGCAGGGAGTCAGCAATGTATCCCAGTGGTAAATTAAGAATTCAAGATGAGCCTTGCTGCATCAGGCTGATGGTCCATCCATGGAGTGCCTGCTTCTGGGCTTCCCATTGAAACATCTGGTTTGGCCACTGTGAGAACAGGATGCTGGACTAATTGGGCCAATGGCCTGATCCTTCGGTAGCCAGGCTCTCCTTATGTGATGCTTGGGACCTGTTTTAGGGAGAAAGGAAAGACGTCTGTCCACAAGTCTGCAATTTTTCTATTGGGCGAACCATATATATTTAGAACCGTGAAGGTGGCACATTATTCTTCCTGCAGGAACTGATAAGGGGGGTGGGGTGGAATGCTTAAGTAAGAACAGTATGCCAGGTCAAGGAGATTTGTGATTTCAAGTTCGTTTTAGGCTTTTTAGTCATTTAGCTTGCATATCAGTTTATTCAGATTTATCTAAATGTTTCCATTTAATATTTATTTTTTAAGAGGGACCATATATACAGTGTTTTTGTTTGTTTGTTTGTTTGTGTGTGTGTGTGTGTGTGTGTGTGTGTGTGTGAGAGAGAGAGAGAGAGAGAGAGAGAGAGAGAGAGAGATGTTATCTTATCTGCAGGCGAAATTCATCATTTTAAGTTTATGTCGCAAACAGTTTTATTTGGGTCTGAGTTAACTTCCATTGATGCAATCCTTTGTTAATTGCCTACAATTAAACTTTTGTTTTGTGATGGTCTGATGACCAGATACAAATAAACCCAATCTGATGTCATCTCTTCCACTCTGTAATAAGTGGCTGTACTTTATGTTTCCCCTATTCCACTGATGCAATTTTTGTGTATGTGTATGCTAATTTTAGCAGCTGCGGTCACAGAGGTCACAGAAGTCGAGGTCAAACGCCAGAGGAGCACTCACAGAGGCAGAGGAGAAGATGTTGCAATGTTGTGGACGATGCTCAGGAGCTAGAGCAACGGGGTTGCAACACACACACACACACACACACACACAAGTTCTACATCGCACCACTGTTATGTTGGCCAGCTGTTTCAAAGACTTAGCAATGCTACAGGAAAATATTAGCCAACGTTATTTGTTTCTTCACAGCACCCCCACCCCTTTTCATTAGAAAGCCTCTCAGAGAGGCTTTATGAAAATCCCTTTCCTAACCTTTGCCCTCAGGTGAACAATTTCAAAAAGTCATGATGCATGAGGAAAGAGGGAAAAGGAAAGTTCTTAAAGTTACAGCTAATGTCAGTAGCGATTCTGGTGGGTTTTCGCTCCCTCTTTATACTAACTTCCTCTTTCTTTCTTTCTTTCTTTCTTTCTTTCTTTCTTTCTTTCTTTCTTTCTTTCTTTCTTTCTCTTCTTTCTCTCTTCTCTCTCTCTCTCTCTCTCTCTCTCTCTCTCTCTCTCTCCAACCCTCTTTATCCAGATTTCCCATTATGTGCCAACCACATGCAAATAAGGCTGCCTGAAATTAAGCTGAGGGCCATATGTAGGCTTAGGGCTGCAGCTTCTAGCTTGGTTACATCTGTCCCCAACTTGAGAGGTTTAGCTTCTCAGGGTCCAGTGGAAGGGGAAGGGAATGCCAACAACTCATGTTTGCAACATTTCCCGAAGGTGTCCTCCGAACCCTTCCAAAAGGCAAACGAGGAACAGCGATTCGGTCTGTTCCGGAAAACTGGGCCTGTCTCTGGTTCACAGGCGATGATGGGTGGTTGTTGTCTTCTGACACTGCTGTTGCCTCATTGATTGTCTTCCCAAGAAGCCGCGGCTGTGCTTTCGACTTTGCTGTGTCATGAGGTACGTGCAAGATCCAGTTTGGGCTCGCTCGATGGTGATTTATGCAGCCTCGAAATCGGTCATGTGTTGAAGCCAAAAGGCAGGATGGGCTGATGGGGATCGGCCGGGGATCCTAACCGTAACTCCACCAACAACACCTAGCCCTTCAGGAATCTGGTGTCTTCCCAAATGCCCAACTCCTTCCTGGTTATATAACATTCCTGAACTCTGCTGAGCAGATGGGTCAAGGGCAGGGAATGGAGGAGAAATTTGATTTGGTTGGGGCCGTGCTCAGTGGGAGAGCTTTCTTGCACACACAAGGTCCCAGGGGCAATTCCTGTCATCTCCAGGTTGGACGAGAGAGAGCTCCTGCAAGTCAGTGACCATTGGTCTTGGCCAATGGTCTGACTCCCAGTATGAGGCAGCTGCCTTTATTCCTATGTCTTTAGGGAATGTCCATAACTCAGTGGCCAGAGAATCTGGTTTGTATTGTTATAGATCGGGGGGGGGGAATCCCCCTGAACCCTAGAAATTAATAAATGCCAGGGTTTTGATTAATTGGGATATGGATTAAAGTGCAGA